TGTGGCTCAAGTGGTAGAGCACTAGCCTTGAGCTGAAGAGCTGAGGGACAGCGCCCAGGCCCACAGTTCAGGCCCCATGACTGGACCCAAAAAAAAAAAAAAAAGAAATTCTAACACAACACAAAACAGACAAAGATTTATCAACACCAAGAAGACAATGATGCTTCAACATATCCCTTTCACTGTGACATCCTTAGTGGTAGAGTGGTTGTGTAAGATGCATGAAGCCTGGGTTAGATTCCTCAGTACCACATAAACAGAAAAACCCACAAGTGGTGCTGTAGCTCAAGTTAGAGAGTGGTAGCCCTGAACAAAAGCAGCTCAGGGGCAGTGCCCAGTCCCAGAGTTCAAGCCCCAGAATAAGGAAAAAAAAAAAAATTAAAAGTTCTTTAATGTTGGCAGGTTTCCTCTACTACTGTGAGACACCAGGGATGACTTGTTCTGCTACCCATAGCAGTTCAAACCACACACCTGATTGAGCCAGAGTGCTGCTGACTTCAGATTTCAAATCCGCTTCTAAAAGAGGAGAAATAGTTACCACTGGTCCTGAGAATAGAGGCCCTTTTAAGGTGAGCAACTGGCCTTGTGGAGTCATCACAAGGTTAGCAGAAGAGTGTGGAGTATTAGAGGGTGAGGTGTTTTCTGCAAGGAAAATTAGAAATTAATTATGGATAAAAGACCTTCAACTAATTGTTACTGTAGTCAGAAATTTAGATGATGTCCCTAAAACTTGACTTGAAAAGCAAGAAGTAAATTTTGAATTGAGTTAGAGAAACTAAACTTAAAATTTACTTTTTGCAACAACTCTTCGTTACCTGCCCAGTGATCCACTTCAGGGACAGAACCTATTTGTTGAAGTGCAGAGGTATAGAACCATTATCTCAATGGAATGCTTCTGACAGTTATGATAGAGTCAAGATGAAGACACACAAAATTCCATTCCCAAGCTCCTTTCCTACACAACTCTACCAAAACACTTGAAGTTTCTAAGCCTCATTTTCCCCATCTGTAAAATGAGATAATTAGTTATTCAATTCCTTTCTTAAAACTAACACCAAGTAAGGCACCAGTGGCTTACTCCTATAATCCTAGCTACCCAAGAGGCTGAGATCTGAGGATCATGGTTCAAAGCCAGCCTGGGCAAGCAAGAAAATCCATACAAGTTTTATCACAGGAGGGGAAGGTGGCTTGGTAGTAGAGTGCTTGGCTTTGCGTGCATGAAGCCCTGGGTTCAATTCTTCAGCACCACATTAACAGAAAAAGCCAGAAGTGGTGCTGTGGCTCAAATGGTAGAGCGCTAGCCTTGAGCTGAATTGCTGAGGTTCAAGCCCCAAGATCTGCAAAAAAGAAAAAAAAAATTTCCTTTCTCCAAGGATACAAGTAACATAAAATTAATCATAGCTTACTTCCAAAATCAAGACAGAAGCACTTAAAACCAATTTACTTTGTTCCTTCATAGATCTGATAAAAAAGAAAAAAAACAAAGCCTAATTCAACAAAATTAAAATTATCCTTTTCTGGGGCTGGGAAGGTGGCTCAGTGGTAGAGTGCTTGCCTTGCATGCATGAGGCCCTGGGTTCAATTCCTCAGCACCATATAACCAGAAAAAGACAGAAGTGGTATTGTGGTTCAAGTGGTAGGCGCTAGCCTTGAGCTGAAGAGCTGAGGGACAGCGCCCAGACCCAGAGTTCAGGCTCCACGACCAGCAAAAAATAAAATAAAATAAAAATAAAATAAAAAATTATCCTTTTCTTTAAAGACAGTTGAGCCGGGCAGCAGTGGCTCACACCTATAATCCTAGCTGATCAGGAGGCTGAGATCTGAAGATCACGTTTCAAAGCCAACCCAGCCAGAAAAGTCCTTTGAGACTCTCCAATAAACCACTAAAAACTGGAAGTGGTATGTGGCTCAAGCGGTAGAGCGTTCGCCTTGAGCTGAAGAGCCCAAGGATAGCACCCAAGCACAGAGTTCAAGCCCCATGACCGATTAAAAAAAAAAAAAAAAGACAGTTGTACTATGTTGCCCAGGCCAGTACCAAACTTATGGACTTAAATGATCCTCCACCTCCTCCCAAGTAGGTGAATAGGCACATATCACAGTGTTTAGTTCAAAAAACTTTAATTCCAGCTTATCTGTCTCAGCTTCACTCAAATTTTCTCAACTCTTCATTAAAACTACAGAAAAATCAAGTTAAGATATTAGTTGGTGAAAATCCTAAATGTAGACTACAATCAGAAGTAGAATTTAGATGTTAACATAAGTAGCAATTTCTCAGGATTTGAGTGTAAGTCAGAAATTGAAATCTATTGTAATCCATGTTCTTTTTATTCAACTCACGTTTAATTCATTTAATTACAATTATGGCCAAGAGAAGACATTCAGTCCACTAAACTAATGTTCATCTACATTAAGGAAAGCAAAGAATGTCCCTCCTACCTGTGGCCTGATCTCTTTTTCTGGAAAGAATCAAAGGTTTCCCCCTCCTGTTATTTATAAACATCTGTTCGACATCTACAGATGATGTAGAAGATCCTTCCTGCTGTTTGCTAGTTCTAGGAGACACATCAAACTCATCTGATCCCATCTTCTTTTTTCTTTTTTGTGCCTCCAGTGCTTGTTGTTTTGCATAAATATACTCTAGTTTCTTCAAGACAACTTCTTCTGTCTTACCTACAGGTTGACAGGGAATAAATTACCACTCTGCATAATCCCACATAATAATGAGAAATACAGTCAACTGAAATCCAATTAATTTAACTATTCCCCAAAACTATGGAAGGCAAGAGTGATCACGATCCAGAAGATATGCCCCACGTAATCAAAATATAAGTCTTCTGTAAACTTGACGAGCCAAACTGCTATGTTGAATATGAAAGACCTAGTGAGGATTTGTCCTTGCTAAAGCTGTGTTTGTTTTGTTTTTGTCTGTTGTGGGGCCTGAACTCTGGGTCTGGGCGCTGTCCCTCAGCTCTTCAGCTCAAAGCCAGCACTCTACCACATTGAGCCAAAGGGTCACTTCCTGCTTTTTCTGCTTATGTGGTACTGAGGAATCAAACCCAGGGCCTCATGCATACAAGGCAAGCACTCTACCACTGAGCCACCTTCCCAGCCCTGCTAAAGCTGGTGTACCAGAGAACATTTACCTATCTTACCTGAAAGAGATGATACCTTCCGAATCAAAATATTCCGTTTCCGACTCAGGAGATTCTTCTGTCCTATCAATTTATCTGCTTGATCTGTTAGTCCCTGAATTTCACTGAAAGCCTAGAATAGAAATAGTAATATTATGTTAATCAATCTGTTCTTTCCTTAAATTTCTTAAATATTTCAATTTCCTTACTATTTCAACTTTTTAAATATTATGATACCATTTAAAACTACTGAAGCTTCAGAAATTATTATTTCTAGTTGTAAACTTAGCTGTGGTGGTGGTAGTAGCAGTGATGGGACTCAAGACCTAATGCACGGAAGGCATGCATGGAAGGTAAGGGTTCTATCTCTCAGTTAATTTTCCAATCCCATTGTTTCCTGTTAAATGAACATGTATTTAAGGAATATAGATAAATAATCAGTGCCAAAAGGCATCAATGAGTGGTAAACAGGTGTTCAACTACTGCAAGGTGATGTCAAATTCTATGTTCTAGTTAGATTTTAATCAACTTTATAATAATCTAGTACATGTAAAATCTAGCTGAAATAACACTGTTCTGGAGCAATATGTGTTTATGCTACACTACTCCAACTTCTACTTAAAACATAAATGAAATTACCTGAGATAATCTATGTGCAAAGTTAAAATTTCTAGCTTAAGGTTTTTTTTTTTGTTTTTTTTTTTTTTTGGGGGGGGGTCTGGTCATAGGGCTTGAACTCTGGGCCTGGCGCTGTCCCTCAGCTCTTCAGCTCAAGGCTAGCGCTCTACCACTTGAGCCACAGGGCCACTTCCGGCCTTTTTTCTTTTTTGTTTATGTGGTACTGAGGATTCGAACCCAGGGCCTCATGCATGAAAGGCAAGTGATCTACCAGCCTAGCTTAAGATTTTTATTTCCCTTTAAAATGACTGCCAACTGTTCAGACGTGTGCTACAATATCTGTATACTGTGCTTTACAATGAGATATTGCAAACTATATAAAGAAAATGTGAAAAGCCGGGAGCTGGTGGCTCACGCCTTAATCCTAGCTACTCAGGAGGCTAAGATCTGAGGATCTTGGTTCAAAGCCAGCACAGGCAGGAAAGTCTATGAGACTCTGATCTCCAATAAACCACCAGAAAACCAGAAGTGGCGCTGTAGCTCAAGTGGTAGAGTGCTTGCCTTGAGCCAAAGAGCTGAGGGACTGTGCTCGGGCCCAGAGTTCAAGCCCCACAACCACCACCACCACCAACAACAACAAAAAAGTGCAAAGTAAAAACCAGTTTCTGACTTTATGTGAAGGAAAAAGAATTCTGCCAGTTAAGAACTTAAATTTCCCAATTAAAACCTATTCTAGCTGGGTGCTGGTGGCTCACGCCAGTAATCCTAACTACTCAGGAAACTGAGATCTGAGGATTGAGGTTCAAAACCAGCCGGGGCAAGGAAAGTCTGTGAGACTCTCATCTCCAATCAACCACCAGAAAACCAGAAGTGGCGCTGTGGCTCAAGTGGTAGGGTGCTTGCCTTGAGCTGAAGAGCTCAGGGATAGCGCCCAGGTACAGAATTCAAGCCCCACATACTTGGGGGTGGGGGGGAGAAGAAGCGAGCTAGGCTGGGAAGGTGGCTCAGTGGCAGAGTGCTTGCCTTGCATGCATGAGGTCCTGGGTTCAGCACCACATAAGCAGAAAAAGCTGGAAGTGGCACTGTGGCTCAAGTGGTAAAGCACTAGCCTTGAGCTGAAGAGCTGAGAGACAGCACCGAGGCCTGGAGTTCAGGCTCCATGACCAACAACAACAACAGAAAAAGCTATTCTAACTTAACATGACATAACATTTAGGGGTTAATTCACAGTAATCATTCATTAATTCACACTGAACTACTCTTTAAGTACAAGAAGCCCCATTTCAATATACTTCAGATGGCAATGGATTCCTTTCATCTGGTATGGTAATATTCTCTTAATCAAGCTTCTTATTATTTACATTGAATACTTACCCGAGTAAGAATGAGGCTTTTTGAAACCTTGGAAGAATGAAGTAATCCCAATGTGATCTTCAACTTTTCAAAGAGATCCCTCATTTCCCCACGCCGCCGCCGCTCGTTGGCAGTGTGTGTCCGGCGATAGTAAGCAAAAGCTTCTGTTTCTTTATGAGGCTTATCACTCCAGTAATCTTGTTTCAGTTTTGGATGTACAGATGTAGCCTGTTCCAACAAGACTGCCTCTTCAACAACCTTCAAGAGTGCCGTCCCATTTTCTCCACCCCAAATGGCACTTTTCTATCTCAAGATACCCATCACTTTCTCTCCAAACTGTTGTTAACAGCCTCTCAACTGCTTGTCTTGCTATCATTCTTTCTTCCAAATCTAATTTCAACACTTCCAACAGTAAGAATTCTAATATATCATAATAATAATCATATTATTTCCTACCTTAAATTTCAGGGGTTTTTCAAATGAGAAAATCTCGATAGAGCTAAGGGGATAGGAAGTCTCAAAAAAATTAAGTTACACATTCTGTTGCTATTATAGTTTTTATGAAACAAATGACATAAACAATCAAACTATTGACTAGTAGAAAGGAAGTATTTTAAAAAGTAATGTTGAAGCAGGTACTGATGGCTCATGCTTGTAATCCTAGCTACTTAGGAGGCTGAGATCTGAGGATTGTGGTTCAAAGCCAGCCTGGGCAGGAAAGTCCATGAGATTCTTATCTCAAATTAACACCAGAAAACTGGGAGTGGCACTGTGGCTCCAATTAGTAGAGCACTAGCCTTGAGTAGAAAAAGCTCAGGGACAACACCCAGGTCCGGTGTTCAAGCCCCAAGATTGACCAAAAAAAAAGTAATGCTGTAAGAACTTTCACTTTCACACATATGGTAAAGAATCAACTGTCCTTTTTTTTTTTCCTGGTCAGTTGTGGGGCTTGAAATCTGGGCCTGGGCCTGGGCGCTGTCCCTCAGCTCTTCAGCCCAAGGGTAGCACATACTCTACTACCTGAGCCACAGGGCCACTTCCAGCTTTTTCTGCTTATGTGGTGCTGAGGAATGGAACCCAGAGCCTCATGCATGCAAGCACGCACTCCACCACTGAGCCCAGCCTGTCCTTCTTTTAAACAACTTTTTCTCCAATCATTCCTAACAGGTAGAAATTAAAAAACAAATATGTTAACAACATACCTGCCTGTACCTTTACTGTTTATCTTACACATGCTACTCAAGCCCTCTACAATGAGCTGTCCCTCCAGCCTGACTGTTCATCTTCCCTATTCCCAATCATTACAGCAGTCTAAACTTATACTTCAAACTCCAGCTTCACCCTTTTTCAGGAAAGCCTTTCTTGGCCTTTGACATGCCTAAAGGCTTCCTTTTATCTTATTTATTCTATTTTAAGTTTAAAATTTATCTTCTGTAGAAAGTTCAAGTTAGGAATGGACAGCTCCTTCCTATAATCCTAGGTATTTGGGAGTGGCCAGTTCTGGCATGAAAGTTCTTGACACCTCATCTCAACCAATGGATGGGTACAGAGTCATCTGTACCAGTCATCTCTAACTCAGAAAAGCACAGATGGTCACTGCCCAAATTGACTCTAACATAGAGACTTTACCTCAAAAAATAACCAAAGCAGCCAGGTGCTGATGGCTCATGCTAATAATTCTAGCAACTCAGGAGTCTAAAATCTGAGAATTACTGTTGGAAGCCAAGCAAGTACAAAGTGTCAATCCATAATATTAAAAAAAGCTACAAGTAATACATATGGGGCTTAAAAATTAATGAGTTTGGGCTGGGAAGGTGACTCAGTGGTAGAGCACTTGCCTTGCACGCATGAGGCCCTGGGTTCGATTCCTCAGCACCACATAAGCAGGGGAAAAAAAACCCAGAAGTGGCACTGTGGCTCAAGTGGTAGAGTGCTAGCCCTGAGCACAGAGAAATTCAGCAACAGAGCCCAGGCTCTGAGTTCAAACCCCAGAACCAGCAAAAAAATAAAAATAAAAATAAAAATGAACAAACTTATAGTTTAAGCGTCAATATGCCTTGCATGTTTACCTGGATCCTCAGAAATAATGACATTTCTATTCTTTTAGTTGATTGTTAAATAACAATAAGCTTATTTTTTCCAGTTAATGCTATCTACTGATGCCTTGCTCTGCAGAGAAAATTTAGCTCACACCACTTCTTGTTATACCATTAACAGTTTATGATAACATTTAATTCTGATTCCTGAACACCCTGACTGAATTTCTTGTTTCATCAATAATAAGTAGAGTACTTGCCTTTCCACTTTGTAAAAGGAGGACTGATTCTAGCTGGGATGATGGATGTATACCACCACACATAGCTATTGGATGATATTAGGTCTTGGGTAATTTTGTGCCAGGACTAGCCTTAACCATAATCCTCCAATCTCTGGCTCCTGAGTAGCTGAGATTAAGGCATGAGCCTCCAGCTCTGGGTATTAGTTGTCTTTAATGTAACTCTGACAATATCTAAAACATACATATAAAGTCTTTTTTTTTTTTTTGGTTCAGGTACTAGGGATTATAAACTCAAGGCCTATGTGCTGTCCCTGAGCTTTTTCAAAGCTCAAGGCTGGCACTCTACCACTTGAGCCACAGGTCCACTTCTGGCTTTTTGGTGGTAAATTGGAGATAAGAGTCTCATGGACTTTCCTGCCCAGGCTAGCTTTGAACCATGATTCTCCTATCTCAGCCTCTTGAGCAGCTAGGATTACAGGCAAGAGCCACAGATGCCGAACATAAAGCCACTAAAAAAAAAAATCTAAAGCAATTCTTCCTTTCATTTTCAGGTCCTTGACCAACGCTGAAAATCAGTATCTGTTGGGGCTGGGAAGGTGGCTCAGTGGTAGAGTGCCTGCCTCACATGCATGAGGCCCTGGGTTCAATCCCTCAGCACCACATAAACAGAAAAAGCCGGAGTGGCACTGTGGCTCAAGTGGTAGAGCGCTGGCCTTGAGCTGAAGAGCTGAGGGACAGTGCCCAGGCCCAGAGTTCAGGCCCCACGACTGACAAAAGAAAAAAATCAGTATCTTCCACTTTTGCTTACTGGCTAGTACTCTACTAACTGAACCACAACTCCAGTCCCTATATCTCAATCTAAATTCTCATCTAAATCTAAAAATGGCTTTAGAGTAAATGGAAATATGATATATCCAGAATGACTACAACCATGTAACTTATATCTCCCAAATATTTCTTGATTAAGACAGAATAATGCAGGAAATTGCTTAAACAACACAACTCTCTTCCCTTCCTATAATGAGGGTAAAGGTAACATCTTGCTTAACTATGCTACAACAACAATCTTCATAAACTGCAGGCCCATTTTAATTCCTCTAAATTACTTTAACCCGCTGAGAGAAACACTTAAGTTAAATTTACTAACTGGTTTAAAAAAAAAAAAAAGGCCCTGGGGAGAAAAAAGTCACAAACAAGCTGAAAGTTTCAATCCTAAATCTAAGTTTTATTAATTATCACAAAATATATTCTAAATACCTTTCGGGTTTTTTCAGCAGCCTTTTCCTCTGTAGAGACAGGAGTACGACACCTATATAAAGATAGCACTTTTCAGTGTTTTACTGAAATCCAATAATGTAATACCTATTGCACAGCTGTATTAAACCATACTTTCTCAAATCATTTACATCTTATAACCACTTTATTTTCCCGGTGCAATAAAAATGTTCACATTATTTTTTCAACAGAGTATTTTATATTTCTAAGTATTGAAATAGTCACAAAAACTGAAAATTACTCTTCAATCACAAAATATTCCATATTCCAGACATACAAAACTACATGAACAAATACACTTTGAGCAGTCAGGTATGTCCCATCCAGCTTCAGGAATAATATATCTTACCTTTCCTTCCTTCTCATAAATATTCCTGAACTACATTTTAATACAAATCTTTGTGGTTTTATTAAGAATGTACAATATTTGTTTGTTTTCTCTGCCAGTCCTGGGACTTGACCGCAGGGCCTGGGCATTGTCCCTGAGCTGCTTCTTTTTTTTTTTTTGGCTGGTCGTGGGCCTGAACTCTGGGCCTAGGCGCTGTGCCTCAGCTCTTCAGCTCAAGGCTAGCACTCTACCAACTTGAGCCACAGCGCCACTTCAGCTTTTTCTACTTAAGTGGTGCTGAGGAATCAAACCCAGGGCTTCATGTATGCAAGGTAAGCACTCTACCACTGAGCCACCTTCCCAGCCCCTGTCCCTGAGCTTCTTTTGCTCAAGGCTAGCACTCTACCACGTGAGCCACGGCACACTACTTCTGGCTTTTTCTGCATATGTGGTACTGAGGAATAGAACCCAGGGCTTCGTGCATGCTAGGCAAGCACTCTACCACTAAGCCACATTCCCAGCACCCTTCAATATATTCTAAGCCCAACTTAGAAACAAGAACCTTAGATCTAAGGATCACAGTTTAAAGCCAGCCCAGGCAGCAAAGTCTATGAGACCTCAATCTACAATTAACTACCAAAAAAGATAAGTGGATCTGTGGCACAACTGGTAGAGCATTAGCCTGGAGCAAAAAAAAAGCTCATGGACAGCACCCAGGCCCTGAGTTCAAGCTCTACAACACGGACGAGGACACACGGACACATACACACACTTTGTTAATGGCAGGCAAGACACGGACACACACACACACA